ATTTTAGAAAAAAGCTACTTACAAAACCTTTAATAATTGAATCATGCGCTTACAGCCGAAAATATCTTTGTGGAGGGTTGCCATCTGTTTGAAAATTTTAGTTTAATGTAATTGATAAGAAAAATTAAATAATGCAATACATGTATCAAACTATAGAGATTTGGGAAAGTCTACTGCTGAAAATATTTTTGAGGAGGGTTGCCACCTGTTTAAAAATTTGTATTCAATTAAATTGATAAAATAAATTAAATATTATAATACGGGTATCAAACAGCACAAGAATACGTCCTAAGACGCAGTGAAGCACGCAGGTATTTACTAGCATTGTAATAAAGCTGGTTTTTGCTTTGGTTAAATTTCCTTCCCATCATTTCATTCATGCTTTTTTTAGCATGTTCGACAAGAGTTTGCGTTGGTTTACAATTTTATCATTTCTTGTGCTGTTAATTAAATAGCTATTATAACTTGTAATCAGTAAAATAGCACGTGCCTGAAGAGAATAAAGCTGTATGTGCAAACATTTAATCAACGCTGTGATATCAGAAAGAGGCGCCGACAAGAAATGTTGCCACTTTAACACCATTCCCCAAAAAGATTCGAGGTCTTAATCAAAATGGAAAAAATTAGCCAGGGCCCTTCTTCTAAGATCTTCTACAAGTTTTTGAAATTGTGAATTAGTTTGTACTTTTAAAATAATTATATTTTATATTGGAGACCTTTCAAGCATGCAGCGTATTTATTATTGTTTGCGAAAATACTATTTTATTTTATCCACTTGTTAAGCAATATTTACGTAGGCCAGGGAATCACCCCACCATTTCAAGGTCACAAGTACGGTGATTAATTCGCCCTCAAATGGATTTTGAATTGTTTCGATTGCGTTATTAGTGCGGCGAGTAATATTGTCATTCTAGTACATGAATATATGCACACTATAGTGTGCTATTTTTAGAGCACGCTACACAAGATAAGACGTTTCTGGTATAAATTATTAAAATCTTGCAATTGTAAAATGCACTTTATTTTGCTTATAGCAAAGCTAAGTTAATACATACATACATACATATGTACACACTTGTTTATGATTATTTTTCCAACATTTCATAGTTAATTAGGAGGGCAAAATATTTACCCTCCAAAGGCATTCAGTGAATTGTAGCAAATTTCGCCACTTGTTCTTTCATGTGTAATTTATAACGTTGTGTGAAAATGTAAATATTTGCACGACACAACAAAACAACTTGTTCGTTCATTCAGCCTTTGACGTTTACATAACTGGTGTGAGATTAGAAACACAACCTACATATAAGAAAACAACGACGCCAGCAAAGAAAAAAAAAACACTCAGTCCCCTCATTCAATAGACGTCCATTTCATAAGTCTATGCATACCTCATACCTTGTGCCCGCTCTCATTCATATGTACATGCATACGTCTTGTATATTGTGATTGCCGGTAGGTTGGCTTAGACTTATCAGTTCAATGAACGGCGCCACCCCGCCAGGTTCTTATGGGGTGGAGCACGGAATTGCACGCAAATTTGATTTGCGTTCCGCTATTTCTTTAGTGTTGATTTGTTTTGACTGCTTTAAATTTCTATATTTGTTCGATTTCTAGCATTTGGCTAATTTTGCTGGCTTCTAAATAAACTTATAGCGCCAAAACAAAAAAAAAAGTAAAATAAGATATTTAATTATATTTCATGTCACGCGGCGCAAATTCTTTTGCGTAGTTCTTACTATTTTTAATCTGGCGTTAACGCAATGGCTAAGTGCATGTATATGTAAATACGTAGTACATGTGTATGTATGTACTTATATAGGTTTTTTTTAATACTTTTCGAATGACCACCTGTCGGGCATAATGCCAGTTTTGCTCTCTTTTACGCTTTGATTTTGTTTATTTTTTTAAATGCAATTTTACTATAATTAAATTTTGTCAAATTGGCCTTGTTTGTGTTTTAGAAAATTCGTATTTATGGCCACAGGCAAAAAAAAATGGAATCGTGATGGGTGGATAGTTTTAAATTGACCTTTAAAATGCGCCTTAAACATTTTACTGGAAATTCCAGTTTAATAGTTGAAAATATTTTCATGCGTACTGCAATTTACAAACCGATATGTATTACGCCATTTCCTTATCAGTCACTTCAATTCTTTTCCTGATACCCAAGCATGTTACCGAATTCGATTTATGTATCTTATCTCTTCTTATAAATGAATTTCTGTAATTTGGTTTGTTTTTATTTTTTAATAGAGTTAATATAAATATATTTAGGGCAGTTTGCACAGTGGAGAATTAACTCTCATTCACGCACTTAACTTCCGAACGAGAGTTTAATTGTTGATTACTGGGACAGTTATCTTCACTATACATCAAAGCGAGCAGCTGGGTCAAAATTTCATCATCAGTTTAATTCTCTTTGAAAACGACCCTTAGCACCATAGGCGAAAGCGACATATGCGTATCGTTGTTGTTGTTGTAACAGCATACAAATTCCCCAAAGAGTTTTTGGGTAGTATTGCTGGAGTGACGACAGTCCTTGGCCAGATATAATTCTGGGTTGTTGTTGTAGCAGCATACAAATTCCCCAAAGACTTTTTGGGGAGTGTTGCTGGAGTGACAGTCCTTGGCCAGATATAAATCTGGGTCGTTCCGGTTACGTAGATCCGACTGTCGTGGGAACGATAATTCTGGGTCGTTCCGGTTACGTAAACCCGACTGTCGTGGGAACGTATGCGTTTCGTAGTTAGTCCGGGCACACAAACTTAGATAAAGTGTTGATTTTTTTTTAATTTTGACTATGGTCAAAATTTAATAAAGCTGTATTTGGATTCTGGGAGCAGCAGAGAGAGATTTTTGAGCAGCAGAAGAGATAGTCAGTCTCACGAAAGTGCTTTTCTATTTCCCACGAAGCATTAGTTATTAGAATTATTATATGTACATATTTTTATATGTACGGTTTAGTTTTAATTATATTAATATTTTTAGTTTTAATTTTAATTTTCTAATAACGGAAATCATTAACATTTTCTTCTACCTTCTGAAATTTCAGTCTTCATCCCAGTCTGCCAGCAGTGTCTTCACAACAGCCACACCGGACCGTGTTGTGTCACGCTCTGCTACAATGATGGCCGTCTTTGGAATTGCGATCTCCTCATTTAGTCTTAAGCAGATGTTGGCCAGCAGTGGTGCTAATAAGTCTTCCGAGGCTGCCCTTACTCTACGCAAACTTTAAATGAAAATATGCATAAGATGGCACTTCGTTTAAAAATTATTATCAATTTGATGCAAAAGCGAAAGAGATACGGAGGGGATTGATGTATAGAAGAGAGGCAAACAATAATAGTTTCGAGTGATGTGAAGCGAGAATGCGTGAAAGGATGTACGATTAACATCTTACACGTACGAATATTGAATTGGAGGCATGAAATTGGTGAAATAATGGATGTGGATAAAGAAATACACAGGGACATCAACTCAAGGCCAAACTGCAGTGCAGTAATAAGCAAAATGAACATTTGAAAATAGCAAAAAAAAAATATAAAATTTTAAGTGTTTAAGTTGTGCAAAATTATCAATTCTTGAGATGCAGATGCTGGTTGAAAATTTTATATAATTGTGGTAACAGCAGCGAATTTACATGAGAGTGCATGTTTAGGCAAACGTTTTACAACGTTTATAATAACGCTAGGTTATACCTATGTATGTATACTATATAATATTCATCGTTTTAACTATTCAGCTATGATTAATTTTTGAATTATAGTCGCTTAGTATTCATCGTAATCATCTATGCGTACAACGTCCTTAAAATCAATTAGTTTCTAGTTGTATATAATTTCTAAATGTTAATGCACTACACATACATACATACATACATTTAATTTTATAGTATAATCTAGTTGTAGGTGATATTTTTGACGCGATTGGCGAACACGATCAAAATTCAAAATTTTACTTTAACGCATTATATGGACCACATACATTAATTTTGCACGCACTCTCCAAGTACATTTGCCGCACCGCACTTATCGAATTGAAAGCAGCAATTGCCTGTAAATTTCATCAATGGAAATACTTATAACAACATAGCACGCCATAAAGTAAACGCCAATAAAACCAATAAACTCTCAAGTGATGTTTCCAAGATTAGTATAATTAACTAAATTAAATGTTAATTGTACATGCAAGATTGGAAATTTAAAAATTTGTTAAAAATGTTATGTGTCGTCGCGGCAAGTGAAATTTGTACGGTAGCAAGTTTTTATGCTATTTGACACTCATAAACTATGTGATACTACTGCAATCGTCTTGCGGCTTCACGCATGGCAAAAATACATTTATATAATAAAAAGCCAGCACATGTCCAAAAGCTGAGGCAAATACATGTATATTTTGTAAATTTAATTTATTTTGTTTTATTACAATTGCACTCAAGCACATGCTACATATTTGTATAGCTTCAGCCGTATACGTGCAAATATATATTTTTATGTTTTTTTAACGATTATATATTTTTTCTTTAACAAAAGAATATAATATGTTACGAATGTCTAACAAACCTGTTTTAAAAGAGATAGAAAAGGCGATTTATAAATTGCAGAATTTTGCAAATTTTCGCGACGTAGAACGAGCGTATTCTAAAAATAATTGCAATAAACTGTAGTTATATTGATGATGATAACTTGAACGAAATACATAATATACATATTTTTGTTTAAAGTTGCTTAAAATGTGTCTTTTTACTGAAAGCTATTCTGAAATGGGCATTGGGAATATGGTATTAGAGAACCTGTCAAACTGGATCATGAATAAGTGCGAACTTGAATTTGTGGTTTATGTTTCCATAAATTTTAATTTCACATTTTCAAGTCTGAAACGATATTAACAAACAATTAATTCAGTATTGTGCTCTAATCTTTATTGGAACTCTTTTAAGAGATGGATGAGTTTCCTATATTTTTTTAGCTACGTGGTTTTATGTTTCCTATACATGTGTTCGTTGGCTAGAGGTGAAAATATGAGGTCTTTACCCTTTATATTAGAACGGCTGCAGTTAACGTAAAATTAAATCGCAAGTGCAGTTCTTTCCCAGTGTTCTTGTTTATCAAATAATGTAACTTCCGCTTCCTTTTATACAGTCAAAACCAGCTGTTTTATATGCCACAAATCACATTCACTTTAGCAGGTACTCGAACCAATCGCAGTTTCCTTTTCACAGCTTTAGCTTTGTTCCCTACGCTTTCCGGGCTGCTCCGGTAATTAGAGCGTAAAAATAAGTTACTCTCTCACAAGTGTCAAAAATGTGAAAAACCACATTTCGTGCCCGGAATCAACATATCAGCTCTAAATAATGATTTTACGTGTATTTATCTTATATGGCTAATAAAATTACAAAATACATAACTTCATTTTCTGAAAATTCTGTGATATTTTCCAAGTTTGTGTTTATAAAATTTGCTTTCGGATTTAAACAACAACAGCTGTTATTTCAAAATGCCTTTTTGCACATTTGTGCCCGGAAAAAGGTCCGGGCTGTTTCGTGCACAAAGAAGAAGAAATTTACGATCCAAAAGTGGAACGTATTCGCTCTCTACCAATTTTTCTAGCGTGAGGAACGCTTTCTGGGCTCGCGTGGAACAAACCTAGTTTGTTCCGCAGGTCGACGTTTTTTATTTTCTTCCATTTCATTATGCAGCCAGATCTTTATTTTAGAAAGACAATAAGATATTTGCTGCAGATTTTGTTTTATTTAACGATTTATTAATATGGATTTATTTCTTTAATTTTGGAAATATACTTGAAATTGAAGATCAGTCGAAAAAGGAATATTATTATATAATACTACATATAAGGTTCTTTCCCTAACAATCCGGACCGGATCCGGTAGAATAAGCGAAAAGTTTGCTATCACCAAAGAACGTAAATGTATAAGAAGCGACAACTCGTTAAAGTCGGC